AGGGATTCAACACCTGTCCCAGATATCTGGAAAATTCTACTACCCCAACAATGACAAATAGGAGAGAACAAAGAAGACTATAAAACTCAATTTTTGAAGTCGTGTGGTTATAATTGATATGATTATGAACCTCAATAAATTTTGTTCGAAACTGTGTCATCCAGTAAATACTAATACTGTTTCACTGTGTGATACATCTAATAAACAAGCTGATGTGGAATTACTCACTACCACAATGCCCAAGTTTTACACATATACTTTAACTTTGCCGGTGTTTCTTGATGGACTTATCGAATGAGCTGTTTTCAGTTAATGTATCAGATGCAATGCTAATTTCAGCTTCACTTACGTCTTCTGAACATATAGCTGTGACCCTGTACCTGAGGGTCCTTATTAAATTTCCCTTGTACTTGGGAGGAACAAAGCTATAGAAATGTTTATGTCGTCATGTCCATGTATTTTTCTTATGCAAATTTCTTTTTATACTACCATCTGGTTTTCTTGTAAAAAGGACGTCAAGGAAGGCGATTCTACTCTGGGATTCCTCTTCACACGTAAATTTGATGTTTTCGTACTGATAACAATAATCTACTAGACTGAATTTGAAGGATAGTGATTTGATTCGATGCAGTTGTTGATGAAGTCAAGCGTTATACCTCAGATCGTCGTTGAGAACCTTCACTATCCTAAAGTTTATTACAAATCTCTACGTTTAAACAGATTTCATCCTAATAAGAAGACGCCGATACGATATGCATCAAACCAGACTGACTCTTTATCTACGTCTGTCTGTCTGGATTCAACATAGAACTTGGCACCGAAGTGCAGCAGTTCGAGTTGCCACGTTCCAAATAGCACACAGAGGTAGACAAGAAGATGAGTGAAGAGAATCAATAGAGTTTGACAAGTATAAGAGTGAAACAGAATGGGTAATGGTAGAAAGGAATATGAAAGATTACAGAGATTGAATACATCTGCGCCATTGACAACGATTTTGAGCCATGTCACCTATTGTCTCCAGCCATTGATTCCTAGAGTCCCGAGGGCCCCAACCCGGGAGTCTGCATCTCCCTACCTGACTCAGTTTAACTGTCAAGGATTTCATGGATTGATGCCATGTTTTTGTTTGGCCACCACTGGCTCTTTTCCAACCTGAACCTATATCAGCTAACAATGCCCGTCGGGGGAGGCGGTGGTTAGGCATGCGCACCACGTGACCTAGCCATCTTAGTCTATGTAACTTTATAACCTCGTCGATTGATTTTCCCTCTTTGCCCAACACTCTACGCCTAACGTCAACATTACTTACCTTATTAAACCACCTAACGTGAGACAGAGATCGCAGACATCTATGATCGAAAGCAGTCAACCTTTTCATGTCTTCAACGCGTATTGGCCATGTTTCAGAGCCATAGAGAAGGACGGAGCGAACTGATGAGCAGTACACACGTCCCTTGGTTGATAACCGGATGTCACGCCTACGCCAGAGATGGTGTAAGTCAGCGAAAGCAGCTCGAGCTTTTCGGATCCGTGCTGAGATTTCATCGCCAATCAGTCCGTTGGTGCTAATACAACTTCCCAAGTAGGTGAAGTGGTCAACATGTTCTATCACTTCACTCCCTATCACTAAGTTAGGGGTTGACGTCGTCCAGTCCTGTAGCAGCATCTTACATTTTGCAGGGGCGAATCGCATGCCAAACATACGAAGATTGCTGCTCAAGGTGTTCAGAAGACTCTGCATTTTGTCAGCATCCTCCCCTAACAGGACTATGTCATCTGCATATTCTAAGTCCATTAGATTATTCCCTGGTAACAAGTCGATTCCTAAGTCACTACGTTCAGTTAAGGATACTTCCATTAGCATATCTATGATGAAGTTAAACAGAAATGGGGAAAGTGGACATCCCTGTCGGACACCACTGGTTGTTACTAATTCAGATGACAATTCCCCATAAGCCCTTACACGACTACGTGAGTTTGAATAGAGTGCCTTGATTAGTGCAATGTACTTTCTTGGCACTCCCTTCACAGTCAGACATTGCCATAGTACTTTTCGGTCCACGGAGTCGAAGGCCGCCTTCAAGTCAAGAAATATGACAATTGTTGGACGCCGAAAAGTGTGTCTATGTTCTAGAATCTGTCGAAGAGTGAAGATATGATCTATGCACCCTCTACCTGGTCTAAAGCCTGCTTGATTTTCCCTTGTCTGTTCCTCCCGAGTTCTGCTTAGTCTATGCATGATTACTGAGCCTAGGATTTTAGAGACTATGTTCGTTAGGCTGATCCCCCTATGATTATCACACGAGGACTTGTTTCCCTTCTTGAATATCGGTATAATGAGTGACTTACCCCAGTCTGATGGTACTGTCTCTGATTCCCAGACTTTGCCTAGTACCTCAGTTAATCTACAAACTAGTATGTCACCCCCATATTTAAACACCTCCGGAATAATTCCGTCGGGTCCTGCCGCTTTGCCTCGTTTCAAATTACTGATAGCTTTTGTAACCTCACCTACAGACGGCGGACCAGTGTCTATATCCCATTCGGGTACGTGGTGGATGGCGGGGAGGTTCAGTGTGGCTGTAGGCAAGTTAAATTGTTCCTCAAAGTGTTCTTTCCAGCGTTCAAGGCGTCTATCCTGAGAGCTAATTAAGGAGCCATTTTTCTCAGAAATAGTCTCACTTATGAATTGCCTTTTCCCGCCCGATTCTGTGATGAGTCTAAAGAGTTGCCTAGTGTTGCCTATCGCCAATGCTTTTTCCATCTCTTTCGCCTTTGTCACCCACCACTGTTCACGGTCTTTGCGGAGACTTTTAGTAAGTTTCCTTTTGTGCAGCTTTCGCTCCTCATTGAATTCGGAGCTCGCCGGAATAAGTCTTCTAGCATCTATCAGTTCGGATGAGGCAGTCGAAATCCAGTGGTTTTTACTCACCTTTGGATTTGTCTTATTCACAGCTTTTACAGCTGTATCTATAGCTGACTGAATATTCTTCCAGGCTTCTCCAGGGTGAGCACAGCTGTCGGATTCAGATATGCGTTTAGCTAGTTCTTCCTCAAATAGGGATTTAGTTTCCTGATCGAGCTGGGGGCGTAATGGTTTTACCGCCAGCTGTTTCCTACGTCCGTTCAGTCGTAAGCACACACGAGCCCGGACCAGTGCATGATCGGTATCTACACACGTGTTCCAGAAGGAGCGACAATCTCCTACCGACCCACGCCAACGATAGCTTATTGCTATGTGGTCTATTTGTGTCCAGCGTTGGTTTGATGATGGGGGTCGCCAGGTTAAACAGTGTCTCTCCTTGTGTTTAAAGTTAGTGCTTACAAGAAACAAATGATTATCTGAACAGAACTGTAGGAGACGGTCACCGTTGTCGGTTCGCTGGTACGGAACTCCATAGGTGCCACCGACATCCTTCTCAGATTGACACAATTTCCCTACTTGAGCGTTGAAGTCACCAGCTAGAACGACTATATCTGAGCGTTTAGCCTTTCTCACCAAACTAGACAGCTTTTGGTAGAACTCATCCTTCGTTTCATCCGAACTGCAGTCAGTGGGGGCGTAGGCGGAGATTACGAAAAGGCATCGGCGAGTAGTGCAGTCCTTTCTCCTTCTTACTGATCCGTTCAGACGGACAGCACACATTCGGCTATCTACTGGGATCCAGTCAAGCAATGTCTTTTCTGCCCTAGTACTCAGAGCTATCCCTACGCCAGCTAATCCCGTGAACTAGCTGTGGCATCTCCTGACACCCTCAAGGTGAATTTTGAAGATTCATCCTGTTGGCCAGGTGGGGTTAGGTGAATAACCACACTTGGGTCTTGTATGCGTGTTTCTGAAACACAACATACATCAATGGCTCGAGATGCCAGGGTCTTAGCTAGTGATGCTTGTTGTCCTATTTGGCAAAGTGTCCTTACATTAAATGCTCCTATATGAAATTGGTGGCGTGGCTTTAGGAGACTATCCGTGGTGGTTTTTTGGCTTTCGTCGTTTTTAGTGGACACAGAGTGAAGAGGGAGTGAGGAGCCATCAAGTAGAGGAGTTGCATCACTGGGGGAAGGTAAGGTAATAGAGATGAAGATGAAGACAAAGATAAGTGAGGATTAGAGAGGTTTTGTGTGCGTTTTGGATTGTGAGGGCGATTGTTACTTCCCGGCTGCCCACACCGTGGAAGTTGGTTGCGTGACCGCAGAGCCCAGGGGACAACTGCTTGTGGCCGGTCACACGCGGCCTGTTTTTGTTCGTTCTTCGTTGTTTTGTGTGCCTCAGTAGCATACTTATCACTCCCGCCCTGTGACACGGCAGCAGGAAGCGCGGTCGTTGTTAATCCGGGCCACGGCCGATCCGGCATGAAATTTTGTGAATTTGTTTGGATCATGGTATTGGATGAGGTAGCTGCTTTTTGTTTAACCGCTATCCAAACAACCTGCCTGGCATGGTAGAACCTCAAGAGACATAAGTCTCAGCCAGTATAGCTTGATTAGGTCATTGCGGTGTTCAAGCCCGACCACCACGTCAAGGTAGCAGCTTTCGGTCGGGCTTTATCTACGTACATACAAGAGAACGAAATGAATATCGCCCTCAGACAATACGCAGTAGATGAACTACCAGAAGGTCTTAAGACGGCTGAAATAATAAGTAAGAAAAGTCCAATGAACTTTAAATGCTGGTAAACTACAAGTCATATTTTCTACATGACCGTTTGTGACTCCTCAAATGGAAGATGAAGTACCTAGACTACCTACATTAGTCTTGTCATTAACAATCATTTTTTCATTATTCTGGATATTGTAACTGTAGAACCTGATGATTAAGTTAGCGAGGATAATATTCTGTGTTGAGTAATCGGTATTTTGAAAGTCCTAATGGGCTTCTTTAGTCAGTTTTACACTTTCATAGAACATTTTAAGTGCAGAGTTAAATGTCTACATGAAAATCATTCAAATATTATTGAGTTATTCTCTCTGTTTTTCTTCATCTCTTCTCGGTGTAATAGAAATGCCCACCAATGACGAAAGAACAGTTAACCAGACTTAAATCGATGTCATCGCTTGATCTGGTTGGAAATGAAGAGGCTAAACTTTTAAGAATGCCGTATTGTGTTTGTACGTATGCATCGCAATCTGAGAAGTGAGTCATTACTTATTTTGTAGTTGTTTCCTTCTTACTTTCATGTGACTCTAAAGTGTTTGTTACAATAATTGACTAGTCAGTGTGTTTATAATGGAGTACTTTCTGTCCTGCTTGAACTCATGGATGTCAGTGATTTTGAAAATCTCTGATTCAAACTAGACCACTCATACTTATCTGCTGTGTCGTTCAGGATTAATTTCGGTACTTGTTGCAGCCGATTAAAGCAGTGATGTTGGAATATCTTTTGAGTTGTGAGAGTGAAGGCTGCATATAAAAGATGAGGGCTTTAAGGTCATCCTCTGTTAACTTCTTGAGTCAAAATCTTCATCACTCTGTATTGACTGAACCCTCATGACTTTGTGTGTCACCATTATCTCTGACATTGATATCGTATGTTGAACGATGAGGAATGGTCTACAAGCTGTTGGCTGTGTGACTTGACTGTGTCACCAAAGTGCTTTTCACATGGATTTTGAAGGGGTTTGGGGTTGCAATATTTATCATGTTATATGTCACCCAGCTTATTTAGTAACAGACATACCTTTGAAGCGTTGTGCTGTGCAGTCTTCGTAAAGTCGTTGGCTTGTATCAGAAGTTATATTTGCGTGTGGAGGACAATTGAATTGCATAATGCTATTTACGATTGCATCATCCAGATTGTGCAGGGGTGGGATCAGGTGTGCTGGGGGTGGTGGTGAAGTTGAAGTAATTTCTGTGGTGGTGATGATAAGAGTTTCGATAAATTTCATCTGTTTGTCTACTTATAATTCCACTTACGGTAGAACCGATAGTTTTCTCCGTCGGTAAAATGTCATGTTTTGCTGAATCTACACACCAATGCGGTTAGGCATAATGAACGTTTGGTAAATTTACTAGTAGATTTTCCCTGATGTGAACTGATATTTTGAAGAATACTCACACACTAATTATTGGGAAAAGAGTATTCTCAAACGTGCGAGTAAAAGACGTAGTTTGACTCCTGTGTCGGAGACCAATGATTATTCTGATGTAGTTGTATTTACTGATCTGGATGGTTTATTTGCAAAGCTTTCATTGTCCTACTTCTTTAGCGCATACTTCATTTTGAAGGGAGCTTTTCGACTTCTCCACGAGTATGTTAATCATCTCTCCTGGTGACCTTGCACGTGATTCCCCTTATGGTGGGATCCATAGTTTTCTCCATCGCTAAAATCTACACACGAATTCGGTTAAGCGTAATGAACGTTTAATAAATTTCCTAGTAGATTTTCCTTGATGTGGACTGATATTTTGGAGGAGGTGTTTTGTCAAACGTGCTGGTAAAAGAGGTAGTGTAAATACCGTATGAAAACTAAATATATTCTGCAAACATTCGACTGACTAGTGAACAGCAATCAACCTATATGTTTACAATTGCAATTCTGACTGGCACATTGTCGATCTAGTCTGTAATTACACACGACAGTATAGGGTTCCTAGAAAATATGTCTGGCTAATGATGCATAGACTCTAGTGGAACTGATGCAGTCAGTTGTATGAGAGCTCGTGTGGACTTGTTGTTTATGAGTAGACAGTGTTGTTTTTCAAGGAACTGAGTAAGTGAGTGGGTGTGAAGTCCTGGATAATGCTAGACGACTGGATATCACTGACTCCTATTTCAAGGATGTGCAGTGAAGTCGCGAAATGTGTTGTCCATTGGGTTAGAAGAATTAGCTGTTGACGAAATCTGTGGGCGAATCTCTTGACCTCCTCTCACACTTGTTGATATTCGTGGTGTTTGACAGTGTGAGATAAAGTATGCAGCAGTGCACTTTAATCTACTTGATGTCAATAAGTTTGTGATCATAGATGACTTGTGACAAGTGGCCATGTTATCTGGAGGAGAGTATCAGGGTAAGTACCACTGGAATTCGGTGTTTAGTGTTATTTGAGTGGGTGGATATTTCTATCTTTATTCATCATATATATGCACACTCACACACACACCCATGCACAGTTCATTTGTTGAGTGTTTTTGATTTTCTCTTTTAGACATGAAATGAAATCTCACTTATTACTTGGCGATGTAATAAGAGTTTTATATTTGTTGCTTACAAATCGTAAACACCAGAATATTGCCTTGCAAGTATTAAGACACTGTTGGATATATTGTCAACGAGTCCCCCTAGCTGATATACGTCTTTTTACATTGAGGGGTTTATCATCACGAGACTCTGCTCATCTGTCTCAGTATCCATTGGTAAATTCAGAGTCACCACCACTGTTTGTTGTCCGGTGGTCTTCTGACAGTCTGTTGAAGGGGACACTAGAAATTGCCTGTAGCTGTCTACCACGTGACCGATGCTGGTACAATTGTTGTTCTGAAAGATTTCTGCAGGCATTATCACGTTTAATATTCAAACCTGATGCGAAAAAGTATCTTTTAAATATATCAAAATACCTTTCATCGAAATGTCGTCAGATTTCAAATGCTTCTTCTTCATCGTCAGCATCATTATATGTGTTGTCGGATGGAAACGATCGTGATGATGATTTTGAGTTAACTGCACCTAATCCTCCGGTGGATGATAATATGCGTGAAAGAAATTTACACGTGGAATTGTGCAAGTGTCTTCCTCAGTCAGTTTCAAGTTTTCTAAGAAGGACGACCGGCGTATCTACGCACCACATTGCGTCTTTCGGATTTCTAATTAGCTCTTTTCATAATACATGCCTACAAGTTCTGAGTGAGGCTAAGACGACTTCAGGTTGTAATTCAAATGCTCAAATAGACAAGAGTGTCTCCTTGAATCTGTTCAGTACTATGGAATGTCTACATCAAGTTATATCTGTTTGTTTGTGCCGATTACATGATTCTTTTGCATCACTTATGTCAGCTGGTTCTTGTTTGAAGGCGAGGCATGAACTCGCAAATGCAGACAGTAATTCTGTTCAATCACGTTCTTCTATGCGGCTGGCTCGTGGACGAGCTCGTCTTTTTGAATCGGAATCATGTGCACGAGATAACGTTATTCGTATATTAACGGAAGAGGTTTGTGTTCCGCTCCGTAATGTGTTAAATTTCCTGGAGAAAATGTATCACACGTTGTGTAGTATAACATCAAGTGGTTTCTTGCTTTGTCCTTTCTTCGGTTGTGATAAGAAGGATACTAGTTTACTGCCTTCGAAACAGTGTGTATTCGATTCTATTGTATATACACGAGGACTTGTTAACTTGGATGCGCCATCAAGAGAGCAGCGGAATATTGAGTTGTTTACGAATATTGCCTTCTTCTTACTCGAGTATCTCACCACCGATGTTTTCGGACATGTTCGTGGTCTGCGTGACAGTGTGTTTTCGTTGAAAGAGGAGTTATCAAAGACTTATTCCTCCATAATGGACACTTGGGTGCCAGCATACAAAGACCAGCTTCCCTCTGTTAGTCCACGTGCTGATATTGATTTGAAGTATCTCTTCTCATCTTTGCAGAGTCAATATGATGCAATTGAAGCTTGGAGTCGACGTCAACATCAGGTAGAATTGAAGCAGATCAGTAGTACTATGATTAGTTTTCTAACACAACTTTATGATTGTTGGAAATGTGGGTTTCTGTGTAGCGATTTAAAGTTGCCATGCCGTATTTTAAATATTCCATATGGTTCAAGAAACAGTTTATCCCAGCCTGTGTTAAATAAGGTCAATGTGAATGGGATATCGCCATGGCCACCTCAACACTTAACTTTTGTTCCACCCGAACACCCAGTGCCAGAAAATTCAGTCAGTGATCTAAGTAAAACTGTTTGTTCGACAAGCAGTGATTCGGTAGAAGATTTTGTCTATTCGAAAGTGACATTTTCACGTGATTCTTTGAGGAAGACGTTGAAATCTGCGGTAATCACAGTGCATACTCCGGAAGTCAGTAGCAGCAGTAGTAGTCAGAGTGAAGGGCGTATCTCACGTGATGATGTCCATGATGGTAATGCAAGACTGCTCAGTGATCGATGTGCTGGAGTGGACTCTTCCGTATCACACTCCAGTAACCCGTGTTCCCCTAATATTATTCCTCAGACAAGATTACTTATTGCTGTTAACCAAACATGTTCAAAGAATGTTACAAGTATGTCACCTAACACCTCCTCATCTTTGGATTCTAATTCTCTTCGAACCACAGAGGTGATAAATTCGTCAGAATCTTCTGTTTCGGTGAGTAAAAGTACTACTGATAATTCAGAATTGAATTCTTTAAAGTTAGTTACTGAGATTGTTGTGAATGATGTGCCATCACTTGAGAGCCTTTCAAATCCCTTATCATTAGGAAACGCTTGTAATAATAGTCCTACTGAAATTGACGTTGCGTGCAAAGAAAAGGCATCTGTTAGAAATTCATATGATTGTGAGAAAGAAGTTAACGGTAGCCAGTGTCCTCCTCAACCGGTTCGGGTGTGCAGTTCTGTGGTGTCAAAAAACAGTGATACGTTAACGGTCGTTACTAATGCAAGTGATTCATGTGGAAGTGCTTTGCAAATGTCAATTGATTCCCGAGGTGAATCATTGGTTCAGAGTGCTTCGGTAAGTCTAAGTGGAACAACGGAATGTGCTCATTCGGAAAACTTCTCATCCGTACCGAATAAACTATCAGACAGTCTTATGCTGGTCTCATCACGTAGTGAATGTAATGAATCTGAAGCGCAGTCTGTCCCATCAAACGCTGATGTGGACACACCATCTCCTTCGTATGTTTCAATCAATAATGTTGAGAATATTTCTTCACAGCCTAACACAGCTGAACCTACGGAAGATATTGATGTCACTTCAGGTAACCCTGTTCCTTCGCCTAATTCTGATGGGATTCCAGGAAGCCCAGGTGCTTCCACAAACAATTGCGATTCACCTTTGCAGGATTCAAGTTACCGAGATGATCATGATGAAGAGTCGACATATTCTCTTGAGAGCAATTCTGATGAGATATCAGAAAGTAGATCCCAGTTATCGTCTGTCAGTACTGTTGTCTCAATAAACCGGGAGAAAGAAAAGTCGATAAAGAAGGTGTGCATTTATTTACCCAGTAATACTGTTACTAACTCTCCGATTAAGAATATTGTCTGTCAATATAGTAGTGGGGAAGAGCACTCCGACTCTGATCAGGTGAACAGTTGCACAATGACTCTTGATAGACGGCGAGTTGGGAAATTGAAACGGAAGCTGAAGAAGTTGAACCACTTACCTGTTTCTGGAACGAATACTTCTGAAATCTCAGAAAGGAACTCCGCCTCACAAATTGAAAGTCTCTTGTGCTCGATTCCGTCAACTAGTAACAGTTGTTCATTGACGGGGTTTCCAGATGGTTCACATAATTTGACTAATTTCCGTGTGAAACAACCGTTAAGTGATCTTGTATCTCTTCCTTCTTGGGTGCAAGAGAAATCTCTGAATTCTAAAGCTCCCGGACCAGTGACGGCTTCGGTATTAGGACTATCTGCGTTCCCACTTTCAACTGTATCAGTTAGCTCGACTTCTGATGAATAAAATCTCATCTTTTCTACAGATTAATGTTATTGTTTAATATCTGATATACAACGTCCTTGACTTGTATAAATGTGTACATAATGCACTTGTGATATCTATCGATTGATAAACGAAGATTTATTTTGTGTACACGATTGTGTTTATTGCTATTCATTACTTATTTATTTTTTTATCTAAAATAAAAATTAATTTTACTTTCCTTGTATTTCATCACGTCTATGAGTGTTATCAGTGTGGTTATTCTCTTAGATTCGGAGTGAACCGCAGGGCTTCATCAGCAGATCTTCACGTTGTCCTGTTCTCTGCAGTCCCCTGTTGACTGTTCTACTTCGTCCGACGATTGTGCTTCCATCTGTTCTTCTCGTAAGCTTAACATCTAGGCAGGATGATTAACCTTCTGATTCTGCTCTAATTTTGAATTCGACTGACTGATGAAGAATTGTAGGTTTTTTATTATATGTTAGTATTTTCAACGGTGAGAATGAAGATATCATCTATATACCACGTGTAAACTTCGATCCATTTGATTGTTGGTAGGGAGGGGATATTTGACTCAAGGTACTCCATGAACCAATCGGTAATCAATGGACCAAGCGGAGAACCCATTGCTAATCCATCTTTCTGATTACATGTTCAACCATTGAATAAGAAGTGAGTATTCAGTGTCCATCTCAGGACTTGTCCTTTAATATGTGTATTGGCTATGCCAACATTCAGATTATTTGAGTCGATAAACACACTTAGGTAGCGTACAGTTCGCGTTAAGGGGACGTTAGCGAATATCGAAACCACGTCCGACGAAGCCATAGTTGATCCCAGATGCATTCAGTTGACTTACTGATTCTACGAATTCAAACCTATCATCCCTTCACATTATTCCTCTTAATGGTGATGGGTGCTGGTTGTTGCTTGTGGTGGTTAGGTATTTTGATCATGTCTGCGTTCACTTAAATCCCGAGTTCGTGTGACATTAAACATAAGTCGTTAGCGAAGTCCAAATTTTCCAGGGTCATCTTGTCGGTCTTACGTATTATTGTCTCCATCCGCGGTGTGTGGCATGATCTCGTCCGTTACGATTAGTAATATGGGTGATACTAGGTAACTTTATCTTGTCTGTCTCTTGTCCTCACTTCAAAGGCATTGCTGATTTTTCCGTCGTGGATCACGTGATATGCGGCATCAACATGAAGCAGCTGACTACGGCCGATAAAAGTTCTGGATCCTCTGTAATGTTCTAGCAGTTTCCCAATCGTTTTACGGAGGTCTTTACAAAGCTGTTGAATGTGAGATAAAGGTTTGAATACGTTCTATGGTCTCTTCGATGATAATGTGTAGCACTGTGATTTGATCAGCATATTATTTGCCTTTCTAGTTTGTTGCAGGTGGAGTTTTGCATTTGGAGCATTTTTTAGCCTCACCAGGTTGATGCGATATAATATTTTGCTTTTAGTGAATGGGCGCATGAGTTCGCGCCGGTTTTGCCAGGACGAAATTCTCCCTTCTCTGGCAGCTTGATGAGGGAGTCTTTCTTACAGCTAGTAGATACCTTTCCTTCCGTCTAAACCTCTTGCAATAGTGTTGTAAGTATATGCTCTGCGTTCTAAGGATCCGTTTTCAGTTCTTCCGAAGGAGCTGTGTCTCATCTTGCCGCCTTCTCGGTTTTCAGTAGCTTTGTAGCATTCAAGACCTGCTTTTGTCGGAGAATCGGTAACTACTGTCAGTCATGTGGCTCTTGGTGGGATATCTGGACGCGTTGTAGGTGTTGGTTGGTTCAAGTGACCAGCCGATTGTGCTCTACTTTTCTCGTGATTAGGTTCACTCGATTATCTTTTATTGCCATCAGCTGCATTGATGTCATCTCGGATAGAGACCTGGTTATCTGATATAATGTTCTGTGCTGTATCACCTGTGGCCTGTTCTGTTCGAGCTCCCAAAGTGTCGTAGAATTTTCTGCATCTTTCTTGGTATTCTTCTGTACTTTATTTAGTAAACTGAAGTCAGCTTCTCCTTTCGTTGTCCATCTCTACATTGATTGATCTTCCGTTTTCTCACCCCTCTCTCCTCAATGAGCTTCCAAGTGCCTGAAGGGAGCCATTGATTGTCTTGCCTTTTCTGTGATCAAAAAGACAGCTACAGAGGATTCCTTTAGCATTGATTTCTGAGAGTACCAGTGTTCTTCCACACAGGTTTCCGTGATTTGGTTTTGATGCCTGAAGTAAAGGTGTATTTTGTAGTTTTGGCCTTCCATTTTCGGGTAATGAACTTCAATCATGATCCACTTCCAGCTTTTTTAAAGTCTTTCAACTTGAATTTAAGAGTTCCTCGGACTGGACAATGATCTGAGTACGGGCCTGCTCCTATTTGTGATTTTGTGTCCAGTCAGCTGTCTCTGCACTTCAGATTCAAATGAATTGTATCTGATTTCTGCTATATCTGTCTGGTGAAACCCATATCGCTTTTTGAATATCCTAGTGCTTGTACACACTGCCTCCAATAAGTAAATCGTTAAAGGTGCAAAGTCTAAAAACATTTCTCCATTCGAATTCATTTCGCCAAGAGCCTCCCGACCCATGATGAATTCGCTACCTGTGTTGTCTGCTCCCAGATTGGCTTTTATTCATGTCACCCATTAGGTTTTTGGTGTCGCTATCTGACTGTGGTCTTATCCATAACTTAACACTTGTCTGTAGAAGTCTTTCTTCTTCCTTTGGTGTGCATAGCGAGAGTGTCTCACTGAAGATTGTAACTTTCCTATCTTTTGGATTGAATCTAAATGTCTTTGTCCGAGATGAGATTGGTTCCCATTGCGTAAGAGCTTTGACCGCTGTTGGTGATGTCTTGATAGCTACACTGTCAGTGTGCTCGTGGTTGTCGTCTGGGTGACCGAACAAGACAATGGACTCTTCAGGTAATAATTTAAGTAGTCAATTTCCATTCTATATCTGCTCTCACAGGCTCCTAGCACTTCTATATCATATCTTTTCATTTCTTGGGCAATCCGAGCTGTAGACTCAGTTTCGGACATCGTGAAGACATCCCATATCCTCGTTCCTTATATTGCTTTCAACTAAAGAAGACATCAGCTGACTGGCTGGCTTCCAGAAGGCTCTCACCAACCCGTGTTATTCCGTCTCTCCGATTTCAACGAAGAAAAGGTGTATTCTTGAAGTGGCGATAGTATTGATTTTCGGACATGGAATCCCGCAATGATTCTTTCCTTTTTTTGTGCTTATTAGCGGCTGGTAAACCAGATGAGGTTTCGTTGTAGAGCATTAATCCTGATATTACAAAAGTATGTTTCGATTTGTTTCAATTTTAAGACGCTGACTTGTTGCTTTAGGTGGAATTGAAGAACATACAATAATCAACGTATTAATTTGGTAGTTATTAGGGCTGACGCGAAAAGCTGATTAGCTGTAGGGTTTAAAAAGGCTGTCTCCAACTCTATTACCATACGGTCTGCAAACTAATTTACCTGTCTGTATTGTCGTTGTTGACCAGATAACTAAGTAACTGTGATCCTACGCATTCATCTACGAGTCAGTAGTCTGTGTCTATCTCAACTTCAATTATAATAGATCCATACTGAAATTATCTGAGTAGATTCAAAAAATATCTCATCCTTTAAGTAGTGGTTCGCAAAGTGTTCGATGAAAAGAAAGGCCTAGAATGTGTTTCCTAAAAATAATATTCAGAGTGGAATAATACTGTTGTTTTGGATATTTGGTTCATCAGCACCAGAAGTAAAGCTGCCGATTCGTCGGTGTATATAATCGACTCAAAATATCCGCCTTCAACTTCCCATTCAGCTTACATAACACAACTATGTAGTGACACAAACTTCCGTTTCTTATCTGAGAACAGTATGCCTCTTTCTCCTGGTCAGAAGAGACAATCGTCACTACACATGAGTGGAATATTTTCCATCTCATAGAAAGTGGTTTCCAATACCTCTCACCCAACAACAACAACCGATGTGTTTAACACATCTAGTGTCTGATTACTGTATAAGACTACCGCTTGTACAGGTAGTCCTTTTATCTTCGACAGGTGGTAATCATTCTCACCCCATTGATATTGCTTTTCAACTGGTGCTATTCATTAATATTGGATTTATATGTGAACGACAGAAAATGGATTTTATATGGTTCAGCTACTCAACGAGTCTTCTTATTAGTAAAACGAGTACACATGAATTGTCTAATTCATGAGTAATAATCACTTCACAGCGATATTATATGGGGTCCTCAGTCAGACAGCATAAATAATCGGACGATTTTTAATGGCGTTGTTGAAATGTGCTCACATCTTTGTCTGGTAACTATCCTGAAACCTAGTCCTACTTTTACTGACATAATGCACCGAGATAGACAGTAAGTAGGCGTACATAATAATAGTAATAATTTTCATGTCATCTCCATCGTTGAATTATCTGCTGTATTCCCATTTCATCATTATTATCTAATATGGTGTTTGCTCACGAATGTTAAGCATCGTTTTAAATCCACGATAGTGAAGTATCTAATGCAATATTGTTTATATGTCTGTATGCTAAGTATATCCCAGTACCTGAAATTTTGGTTCTGTATAACGATCTGCTATTTTTGTAGAGTAAGTTTTATTCGTATCATAGAATTAACGTTCAGCCGAAATTCTATTCACAACTGTGAGTATAATATTAAGTAAATGGAATGACTTCCTCAAGTAGACTTTGTTTTGTTGAAAGTGACAGGTAACGAATCATATGCAAGAAGCCAATGGACTATTGTAAAATGCCTTTATTCAAACAGTCATGCATCAGCGGACAAGCAAGTGACCATTTCTTTAGAATTAAAGGCTTGGAGGACATAAGTGTTCATAATTTAGCATATTTGAAGTGAAAGTGTGGAATCGATTTGATGATGGATAAAGAACCACTCTGTATGATGATATCCAGTAACTCGGTTGTCAAAATATGCGTCGCGAATTTCCACCTCAGTAGAAACTATCTGGTGGTAGTTGGTTTTTCACAGTCAGATTTCCAAGCATTAGATCAAAGATCTCAAAAGTCGGAGATTTCTAACAGTCACTCAGTGGTCTTTTCGAGAACTTTAGTTGGAATCAAATCAGTAGAAATTAGGGTTGAATTGGCTTAAATATCAAGATGACTAGTTGAAGTAGCAAGTACGGAGCTTTCTGGCAATTTTCGGAACTAATTAGTGTTAC